ATTTCTGCCTTGTGTTACACCTGCTCGTGTACTGCATTTCAAGTTTTTATTACAGGGCCAGTTTTACTCTTTATTACACAGGTATAGAAAAGGACAGAATTTTACCGCACAGAAGCCTTTTTATAATACCTAAGACAGAAGGAACTCACCTTGATTCTTAGTTCTGGAATGAACTTGTAGGTCAGATGATAAGTATTTTCCCCATGTAACCGTAAAGCCACTTGCATCTATACTGTCTGCATTACATTATGTGACTATTGCAAGACGGCACTGTCTTCAGTGTGCTGACAATCTAACTAACACTCCATTAATGGTCACAGGACAACCCCAATGGCCATATTGCCAGGTCTTCATAATATCTCTCCTTTGCACAATGGCAGCACAGCCTGGCTTAGAATAATAGAAATGTAGAATGGGAAGGGAGCTCAAGAGGTCATCTAGTACATCCCCTGTGCTGAGGCAGGATGAAGTACACCTAGACCACCCCTGACAGGTGTCTGTCCAACCTGTTCTTAAAAACCTCCAGTGATGAGGATTCCACAACCTCCCAAGGTAAGCTGTTCCAGTGCTTAACTGGCCTTATAATTACTTTTCCCCCTAATATTTAAGTAAATCTCCCATGCTGCAAACTAAACTGACCAATTCTGGTCCTATCCTCGCAGGTCATTTAACAATCTTTTACATATTTGAAGACTGTTATCGCATCCTGCCTTAACCTTCTTTTTTTTAGACTAAACATGCCCAGTTTTTTCAACTTTTTCTCATAGGCCACGCTTTCTAAACATCTTATTTTTTATTTTTTTGCTCTCCTCTGGACTCTCTCCAATTTGTTCAAATCTTTCCCCAAAATTGGCAACAGTACGGGGGTTAACCTATGAACACGTTGTTGAAAGAATGATAAAAAAAAAAGAAAGCTGAATGCAAACTCAAATAAACTGTGTGAACTGTATTTGTTTGGACTAATATGAGGAAAGGTCTATGAATGATCAAAAACTTGTGTTGATTTTCAAATTTACTTTAAATGAGGATGCCATCTCCTTTTGGATATTTACTTTGTAAGGAATACTTGCTACCTTGCTCAGCTGAGAGAATGGCAATAAGCTCTGAGTTTGGTCAGGAGACTGGAGCATCATCAGGGCCGGCTTTAGGAAGTGCGGGGCCCAATTCGAACATTCTCAGCGGGGCCCCGGCAGGGATGAATAAAAAAAAAATGTAAAAAAAAGCCTTTCATTTCTTAGCAACCGGTTCCCTATAAAAAGTTCTGATTTAAGGGATGTGCCACAGTATGTATTTTTTGTACCAATAGGGTTACCATACGTCCGTATTTTCCCGGGAGGAATTTTTAAATTTTAAAAATTCCTCCCGGACGGCGATTTAAGACCCAAAAAGCCTGACATGTCTGGGAAAATACGGATGTATGTTAACCCTACCTAAAGTTCTTTTTTAAAAAGATGGCCCTGAACTAGAAATGAGCTCCGTTTCACATGTGTGGGTCCCCACCACTCCCTGGGGGTGTGCTAGGGTGACCAGATGTCCCGATTTTGGGGTCTTTTTCTTATATAGGATCCTATTACCCCCCACCCCCGTCCCGATTTTTCACACTTGCTGTCTGGTCACCCTAGGGTGTGCACATGTGTGGGTCCCCGCTGCTCCCTGCCCCCTCATTGAAGCAGGTGTGCAGGGTTACTGCCCTGGGAACTGCAGGGCACCAGTGGACATGGGGCTGGCTGGAGGCAGGGAAAGGGCTGACTGGAGGTAGGGTCTGGCTGCAGGCAGTGCAAGGGGTGCGGGACTGGCTGGAGACAGGGGTGTGTGGGGTGGGCTGGCTGGCTACAGGCAGGGCAGGGGGTATGGGGCTGGTGTGGACAGGGCAGAGGGTGGAGGGCTGGTGTGGGCAGGGGTGTGTGTGGGGCTAGCTGGCTTCGGGCAGGGCTGCAGGGGGGTGCGGCAGGAGTTGGCTGGAGACAGGGCAGGGGATGCGGCAGGGGCTGGCTGTGGGCAGTGGGTGCGGGGCTGGCTGCGGGCAGCAGCAGGATAGGGGGGCGGGGCTGGTGCGGGCAGGACAGGGGGTGCAGGGCTGGTGCGGGCAGGGCAGGGGGTGTGGGGCTGGCTGGAGACAGGGGCTGGCTGTGGGCAGGGCAGGGAGTGCGGGGCTGGCTGCAGGCAGGGCAGGGGATGTGGGGCTGGCTGGAGACAGGGGCTGGCTGCGGGTAGGGCAGGGGGTGCGGGCTGGGGATGCGGTACAGCCCACCCTGTATGGTAAGTGCCCCCTCCTCTTCCCTCCCCCACAGGGGTAGCAGCAGCAGCCCGGGGCTCAGGGGCTATTTAAAGGGCCTGGGGCTCCCCTGCTTGTACCGCCCCGGCCCTTTAAATAGCCGCCGGAGCCCTGGGGAAGCGGTGGGGCTCCAGTGGCTATTTAAAGGGCCGGGGCGGTAGAAGCAACGGGAACCCCGGACTTTTTAAATAGCCCCCAGAGCCCTGCAGCCCTACCCCAGGGCTCCAGCAGTGGGGCTCTGGTGGCAATTTAAAGGGCCTGGGGCTCCAGCCCCTGCTGGGAGCCCCAGGCCCTTTAAATTGTCCCCTGGGGAAGCCAGGCCACCCTGGTACCGGGGCTTGGGCGCAGGGCCCTCTTAGAGGCAGGGCCCGATTCAGGGGAATTGGTTGAATTGGCCTAAAGCCGGCCCTGAGCATCATCACCATCACAGCTGCCACCACAACCTGGGGCTCAGGGATTTACCACCGAGGCACATGCATCTTTTTCCTGATACTAAAAGATGTTCCTATCAGCACAGATAGGAAGAGGGAACCAGAAGACATCACTGTTTTCATGGCAATATGGTGAGCAATTCATAAGATGTGACTCTAAGGATCCTGCTCCCTCAATCCCAATCGTCTGTCATCATTCCATCCCTACTTTATTCCTCCTACCTCTCTTTTTGCCTTTGTCTAATAAGAATCTGGCTGAGCCAGCAGGACCCAACCTTCTAATCTAAAATCTAATCTTGCAGCACTTTACTATGGTGGCTTGGCTGAGAGAACAGGCACCTCAGGCTTGGTAAAAAGATCTACCAACCAGAGGGAACTGGGACAGGGCAGTATTTAAAGTATATGGGGGGAAGGGTCATGAGGGGTTGCACACCTAGCAAAAATCAAAATTTTAAATTGAGTTGGGTTGCTAAGGGCTGAATTTTAAGCACGTTTTTTATGACAGCGGCTACTTCCAGATGATAGAATAATAGAACTGTAGGACTGGAAGGTACCTCAAGAGATCATCTGGTTCAGTGGCTCTCAACATTTCCAGACTACTGTACCCCTTTCAGGAGTCTGATTTGTCTTACATAGCCCTAAGTTAAACCTCACTTAAAAACTACTTGCTTACAAAATCAGATATAAAAATACAAAAGTGTCACAGCACACTATTACTGAAAAATTTCTTATTTTCTGATTTTACCATATAATTATTAAATAAATCAATAGGAATATAAATATTCTACTTACATTTCAGTGTATAGTATATAGAGTAGGATAAAAAGTCATTGTCTCTATGAAATTTTAGTTTGCACTGACTGCACTAGTGCTTTTTATGTAGCCTGTTGTAAAACTAGGCAAATATCTAGACAAGTTGATGTACCCCCGGAAGACCTCTGCGTACCCTGAGGGGTACATGGACCCCTGGTTGAGGATCACTGATCCCCCTTGCATTGAGGCAGGACCAAGTAAACCTAGACCTTCCCTTTCAGTTGTTTGTTCAACCTGTTCTTAAAAACTTCAATAAAGGGGATTCCACAATCTCCCTTGGAAGCCTATTCCAGAGCCTAACTACCCTTATAGTTAGAAAGTGTATCCTAATAGCTAACCAAAATCTCCCATGCTGCTCCCATTACTACTTGTCCTACCTTGAGGACTGATCACCGTTCTCTTTATAACAGCCCATAACATAGTTGAAGACTGTTATCAGTCTTCTTTTATCAAGACTAAATGTGCCCAGTTTTTTTAAATCACATAGGTCAAGGTTTTCTACCTTCTTATCATTTTTGTTACTGTCTTTTAGACGCTCTCCAATTTGTCCACATCTCAAAGTGTGGGTCCCAGACTTGGACACAGAACTCCAGCTGGTGCCTCACCACTGCAATAGAGCGGGACAATTACCTCCTGTGTCTTACATATGACACTCTTGTTAATATACTCTAGAATGATATTAGCCTTTTTCGCCACTGCATCACACTGTTGACTCCTATTCAATTTGAGATCCATTATAACACCCAGATTGCCTACGCAATTATTCCCCATTGTGTAGTTGTGCAATTGATTTTGCCTTCCTAAGTGAAGTACTTTGCACTTATCTTTATTGAATTTCACCTCGGCAGACCTGTCAATATGATAATCCCCCCCCTTTCCAGAACACTTTAAGCAGAGGGATGTGGGGGATGAGTTGATCTCTAGGGACTGGCTGGGGTAGGCTGGCCGGAAAGGGGGGGAGGGGGGAGCTCTGGCCAGAGGTAACTTTCTGGGGAAGCGAGAGGCTTTTAGGTCAGGTGCCCCTGGGTGTGGGACCTACTGCGTCCGCCCTGAGCTGGGGCGGTGGAGGGTGTTGAGCCGCGGGGCTTCCGGCTCTGGCCGCACCTGAGGACCGGTGTCCATGGGCGTAGCCAGACAGTTGGACAGGAGAGTTGTGGCCGCCCCAGATTTCGGCGGCCAAAGGAGTGTTGGGGGGTCTCCGGCCGCCCGGCTGTGGACGGGGGTCCCAGTTACTTACTGGGCGTTGCAGCCGCTCTGGCGGATCTGAAGCTCCCTCTGTCGCCATGGAAACAGCGTCAGCCCAGGCAGGGCTCCACTTCCGGTTGGTGCTTCGCCACTAGTGCCCGGTCGGAAACAGCCCCTCGACGGCCCTGGGGTTCTAACACCGCCCTCCCACCGGTCGCGCGCTGCCTGGGGTGCCGGGGTCTCTTTCCGGCCCGACTGAGAGCAGCGTGTTTCTTTCGGAGGCTATTGCTGGGGCACCAGGCTGCCCCGTGTGGAAGCTGCCGCCGCCTGAAGTCGCGCTTCTTGCGGCTTCTGGCCGGGCTGGCGCCGCGGCAGAGGTAAGGCTGGGCTCCGCCGGGGGGTGACTGCGCCTCACCCTGTCTGACGCCCCCCCCCCCTTCCCCGGGGCAGCGGCGCTGGGCTCAGACCCGCCCCACAAGGGTCTAGGGAACTGCGTGTTTGAAACCCCGGGGCTCGGCCCGGGACTCCCTGGTGCTCACCCGCGTTACACCTTGAAACCTGCAACGGCCTGGTCTGCGCGGGGGTGAAGGTGGGGGGTATTCAGCGGTAACTACTGCGCTGTACCTGCAGACGAGGCCTAGGGTTGTACCGGGGTGTATTAAACACAGGATAAAGTGCACACACTTCTTCCCTAGTGAAGACAAAGGGCGTGACTTATTCTGGAATAACTTTGTGTGGATGCTCTTATTGTGCTTTCTGAGTGCCTTGTTCCCTTTTGGTTTATGTATTTTAGTTGGCTCCTGAATAGCTAGGGTTGCCAGTTTTTTGGTTGGGAGTATTCCTGGAGGTTTACATGACATCATTGTTAATTAAAGAGTAATCTTTCATTCCTGGAGGCTCCAGGACAATCCTGGAGAGTTGGTAACGCTAGGAATAGCACTAGCAGTAGATCAGTGTTTCTCACACTGTGGGTTGGAACCCCAAAGTGGGTCGTCAGGGCTGGCTTAGACTTGCTGAGGCCCAGGTCTTCAGCCCTGGGTTGCAGGACTCAGGTTATAGGCCCCCTTCCTGGGGCTGAAGCCCTTGGCTTCAGCTTTGGCTCTCCGCCTGGAGTGTTGGGGCTCAGGCTTTGGCCCTCTCACCTGGGGTAAGGGGCTCGGGTGGGCTCAGACTTCTGTCCCCCGTCCTGGGGTTGTGTAGTAATTTTTGTTGTCAGAAGGGTGTCACAGTGCAATGAAGTTTGAGAACTTGTGCTACCTACACATTTTATTTCTTGTCTGCGTTAGACTCTGCAATACGTGCCAAAGTACGATTTGTTATTTCAAGTGTAGCTGCCCCCTTAGCCCAGGGCAAAGACATTTTCAGCTCACGTTATATCATAGGAGAGAAATTAGGTCTGTTTCTTGCACAAAAGCGGAAGGGGTTGCTTGTATCTGTGCTCCAGCTTGAAAAACGTTTTGGGATCCTTCAAGGTGATAGGTGCTAAAAAAGAAAGAGATTTTTCCCATTATATACAACTTTCCCTAAAAGAGGATAGCCCAGCAATCTCACTCTCTAAATTTGTTATTTTTTTATGGTACCTTCCCAGAAGTTAAAAACAAACTTATTTCTTCCTTTCCACCTTAAGAAAATTTTGAGTGCTCAAATTTAATGGATGTGATCAGAAGATGTTTCTTAAAAATGGTATAAGTATGGGTGGTCCTGTAAAATATTTGTGTTTTACCACAGAGCTGAGATCTCACTTAGTTGAAAGATTCCTGACAATGGTCCCAAACTTGCAGTTAGTTCCATATGAATGAATGCCTGTACTGGCAAGGAGTTGGCTGTAAACTTGGGTCCTAAATGTGTTTAGACTTCTCACTATAACTTTTTTATGCATTATCATTAAAATTAAGTTTTAATATTTGATGTTTCCTTTAAGGGCATCAACCTGAAATTTGAGCCAGTTTAAAAAACTAGTTAAATGTACTTTCAGGAACCATACCTGCTCCAGAGTCCCATTGCTATTTTTTCTCATTTTACAAGCACATTTTTCTATATTTTAAAATAAATATTTAACAGTTGTTCTGTGAAAATGCCACACAACCAGAAAGGGTAATTATGATCTTGGCCCTGCAGTGTGATGCGTATGGGCTGACTTGTCATCATGGATCTCATTGCTGGATTGAGGTTTAATTGCCTACATGTGCAATACAATGCACAAAATAAACTGAAAATTTTTTGTTCTCTAATCTTTTAAGTATGGCCTTACTATAGCATAGCAAGTATATGTTACTTGTAAAAATTGTAGGTTAAAAATAATTCAGACAGAAGTAAATTCAGGCCCTTTAAATTTTGCAAAATAATCCTTAGGCATTAATCTAAGTGAATTACTAATAGCAATTGGAAATGGCATTGATTGGGCGAGGAACAACCTTTGTAATTGTAGAATTATGAAAATGACTGACTGTATTTTTGTGTGTTAGCTCAAAGGAGAAATGTTTGAATTGAATTCTCACACATTGAATGGAAGGCTGCTTCATGATTTAAAAAAAAGCAAAAGTGAAATGTAAACCTATTGATTTAAAAGGAAAATGTTTGTATAACTTAAATGGCAATGATGCTACCAAAAACAGCGAAAGGATTTAAAAAAAAAAAAAAAAAAGACTTTTGTAATGTTCTTGTCACAGAACTAAATGTGCTTTTGACCTGAGTAGTTGAACAATTTGAAAGGGTATATTGTGTTTTCCAGTCAGTTTCCCTATATTCTACCTAGAAATGGAGTTAAAACAGCATAAACAAGTTAAATCAATCCAAATTTCAGAAATATATATCGAATCTGTTAGTTGTTTAAATTGTTGAGATGATAATGTGAGATTCTATGCTCCTCTGTGCAGCAGAGGGGAACAAAACAGCAGAAATAATACTGGGGAAAGGCAGAAGACATATTGGCCATGTGATGTGTTGCACATTTAATTCTCACACCAGACTGCTTAGACTTTTTTCTCCCCCTGCATTTCTATAGCGAAAAGGTCAGTATGACGAAGGAAAAAATGATGGAACAACAGAAAGGGAATGTACAAGGCATGATGCCCTTAGAAACAGAATAAATCGATCAGCCACAGGCAAATCTGCCTCTTTGATTTTAAGTAATAAATCCTATTTGGCTGCATATGTTAAACAGTTGTTTGCATTGTGGCATGTGACCTCTTGCTGCCATTGTTAGGATGGGATTGAGGGGTGGAGTCACATTCTCCCATGGTCCCATATTTTGTCATGTTTCAAGTTGCTCACACGTAATTCTTTTAAATGCACTCTAAATTATCATTATACTATTTTATTTATTTTGTTAAGCAGCTCTCGAAAGAAGCCACTTCCTAGCTAGTCACATAATGGCCTTTGAACACATACCACGAAAAGACTGGTATAGAATTCTGGGTGCAGAACCATCAGAGAACCTGACTGAACTGAAACAGAAATATCAGAAGCTGGTATTATTAGTAAGTATATTTTACCTTATTTAAATAATGCAAAAATAAACTAACTACTGTTTTCAATTTATAAATTCTGTATAAATAGAACCAAGTGTAATGAGTGTTATAATTTTGTCTATGAGTGTAGCTAGTTCTTTAAACTATCAAGTGAAGCTCCAGAGCATGTGATTTTCTTATGATCCCAGAAAATGGGGTTGCTTTCTCCCCCCGCACCTACCATCACCAAAAGAACACTATCTCTTCCCCACCCCACCCATCCCATCCCTGCAGGCAGTCTGGAAATACACCACTATTTGGTTGGATTTGGTTCATCATGTGGATAAAAATAAAATTATCTTCAAACTTAAAAATAAATCTTTTTTTCCTTTTCCTTTTATAATACTACCCTTCCTGTGTGATTTACTTTATTCTGTCACACTTCAGTCAGTGTTTGGCACATTACTGTTTGCTACCAGGAAAGCCATTATAAAGTCACAAACACTGGACTGTAGCATCACTGACTAAATCAAGCATGAAGAGCAGGTTTATTTGAAAAAAAGGAAGACTCTCTTCTTTATGAATAAATATCTTGCTAATCTTTAGTATTGGGATAGAAAGATAGAAGTATGTGAACATTAATATGGATTTTGGTGTAAAACAATTGGCCTAATTCTGGCAGGGTTTCCCTCAGAACTACTGAAATGTGAGTTTCTGAAGAACTGGAACCTGTATTTTTAGTTTGTGATAATATGACAGTTGCCATTTATTTATGGATTGCTTTCTGAATTACCACAAGTTTGTTGACTTTAAAGTTGTATTCTCAATGCCATAAATGATAAAGGTGAGGACATTCAGCCATAACTGTCTATAAAAGTGTCTGTGCAAAATATGGAAACTTCTTGTTTTTAAAAGGGAAAATTAAAGATGAATTACACTTCCATCAAATAATCTGTTTGAAATGGACCCTTCAAGAGATGACTGCTGTCTTCCTGATCCTTCTGTGTTGCTAAAAATATACACTTAAACCAAAACAACCAATACCCTTTATTTTGGTGCATTCTGAAAGTAAATCTGAAGTTGATCAATATTTGATACCTCTATTTGTCAGTTGCCTTTCAAGATTACAAAGAGGCTGCTATGATTGGCATCAACTCTTTATCTTAGCATTTATAACATAACATATTCACTGATTTCAATGATACTCTGATTATCTATATAAAAGGACCATGATACGCAATCCTTATTATTCTTATTATAGAAAACCATGGTATCTCTGAATGAGCTCAGCTGATACATTTTTGATATGCTGGTTTTCTTCTGTGCATTCTACTATTTTTTTTGTGTGTGACCGTCATAGTATTTTGGTACTAAGATTAGCGTACATTTAAAACTAAATATAACGTGTTTTGATAAGAAAAAACAGGAAATGTAATAAAAAAGCCCTTTCTGTCTGGTTATTTAAGTTTCTAATTTAAACTGAATAAACTAATGGAACTAAAATGGAATTTGTTATTTTCTCCTTAATTCATTTATTGTACCTAGGTATAATGACAGAATGCAAATTTTATATAAAATGCTTATTATACCTAGGTACAATAAAATAAGTTTTGTTAGAATAGTAACTTTGACTTCAGATTTCCTTATTTTTCTGCACCTTTTGAAGCCTTGCCTTTAATATCACGGAGTGTGTTTATTTAGAGAAATAGGTGAAAATTTATGCAATTATAACTGCACAGAAGTTATGGTAGTTAAGTCTGTTCCATAACCTCTTAATATCAGAATGGCTCAAACACTAACTTTATTTAAATTAAAATTATCTGTATATTTCCATTAGAAAAACTATAACGTGTATAAGCAAATTGCTAAAATGTTTATATTTTAAAAAGTCAATTTAACTGAGGAAAACTATGGAGGATGTGGAAGGGGCCTAATGTTGAACAAACAATATTTTTGAAAACTGAAATGTTTGCTTTCCCCATTTCAGTGATGGATGAATAAGAGGTATTCTTATTTAATACTTAATAATTCTAGCAAGTTTCATTTTTTTTTAAAGTACTCCTAGTTACTTTATTCTCTGAGGCAAATTTCATTTGCTACTGCTATTGTCTCATTGTTTCCTTGAACTCCTTTGTCTGTATCCATCTATTGTCTCTTGTCTTATACTTGGATAGTAAGCTCTTTACAGCAGGGACCATCTTTTTGTTCTGTGTTTGTACAGAGCCTAGCACGATGGGGTATTACTATGTTAATACAAATAATTAATTTGCACTCCTTCCAAATCACTTTCACTGGATGTGGAAGTGTACTGGAAATGATGTGATTCCACTACTTATTGAGTGAATACACAAGTTCAGAAACCTATATACCCGTTGTTCATTACAGAGCCCAGTTATGGTTTTCCAAACCTTCCAATGGCATGATTGGTTTGGGTAGGGGACAGAGCCACACACAGACACCCTAGCCATTTCTGTCCACAAAGAGGTGGTAGGAGTATAGTAGAGTAGCAGAGCCAACTCCCACTCAGAAGCTACAGTGGTAGGTGAAGAGCAATTCCTCCTTCTGCCTACACTGAAATTTCTTGCCAAGTTATGGGGATAGGGCAAAATTTTGTTATCTGGATAAGAATACAACATTTAACCTCATGTTATTTTAAGAATTGTTGAATATTATATATATTGTTCTGAAATCCAGGAGTTTATAAGGCAGCCAGTGTTTCAGATACCAGTTGCAGTTATTACCAACATTCTGTAATTGTAATAGCTCTAATGGCACATGGTCACTAGCATGAAGCATTATAGAGGATGCAATTGTTATTTTGTAAATAATCTTGCTGTGAAAATTTTCTGGAAAGTGACAGTCCATGCTTTCTTTTTGTCATCTTCAAATAATCCCTGCTGCTTCATGTTTAATATTTGCTTTTTTGCCATATATTATTTCCCTTATAATTGCACATATGTAACGTTAGTATTCTGAATGATCAGACAGATGTAAACTTTGTAGGTTATTGAAAGTTGAAGGTCATGCCATATGTCATTGGAATGGTGATTTTTCTCTACATTTGCAGTATGTGCTGTGTAAGGTCAGGTCTGACCTTAATTTCAAAGTAATAGAAAGGCGAGCAAACATGGCTATATGGTAGATTTGCTACAATTGACTCACAAGGGTAAACTCACTTAAAAGAACTGATTAATTTCTAAAATGTAACTTTGCCCCCCAACTATAACTTAATTCAAGAAACAGAATTATTTCATAACTAGACAATGAAATTGTACTTAGATACCCATGTTGCAGTCAGTATTTTTGAGTGACTAAAATGATTTATTATAATTTTGATTATTTTTCCTTTATTAATTTTTATTTTTGCAGTTTTAGCCTATGAATGTGTTTAACTGAAACATGTCATTACACAATTTCTTGATAATAAAACATACGGTATTACAGTCTCCAGATATTCAAAAATCAGTGAGATTGGCTTAAAAATCATGAATTCTTTTAAAATAATTACAGGTTTCAGAGTAGCAGCCGTGTTAGTCTGTATCCGCAAAAAGAACAGGAGTACTTGTGGCACCTTAGAGACTAAATTTGTTAGTCTCTAAGGTGCCACAAGTACTCCTGTTCTTTTTAAACTAATGTTTTGTTTGCTGTCTGGATTTTGAATGTTGTGGGTTCAGATTTTCAAGCTTTCCCCTGCAACCATGAAGACTAGAAACTTACTTAAAAAAATTAAAATGCTGAGATTCTCACAGTCACATGACTTCAGGAGCTGGGGCTTTAAGAAAAAACATCAAACTTGAGAATTTGAAACCTGATATAACTTGTACTGTTCTGGCTGCTGGTTTACAAAAGCTTCTTATCTGTACTTTTATGAACTTCAGATGCAAATCCTTGTTTTTGGTCTTGTAGAATAAAGTCTAGGTGTTTGTGACAGAGAGAGGCATCCAGAAAAGCTGCAAAAAAGTGTTAATATGAGCATATGTTCTCTCTCTGTCACAGTTCCACGTTGTGCCTCCTTGGAAGACATTTAATTCAAGTCCACTCTAAAACATCCTCTCTGCGTAGAAGACTTGCAGAGAGTAAACTCTGCAAGTATGGTGAGAGCAGGGTTCAGAAACTGCTCTGTTAGCTAGCTATGTGGAAAAGGCAGCCTGAATTTGGTCTGTAGTCTGCTGATATTCAGGACATGTTTAGTTTTGAAATATTGTGATAATTACAACCATTTTTTCATACTGATGCATTTTAGTTTGAATAATATAAAATCATAAATGCATTCAGAGAGTTTGGGTTGTACTGCTGTTTATCAGGTAATCCACTCAGTTTTTTCACTCTGTGGAAAGGCACTGCTCATTATATATTGGTTATGACTATGTGATAGATTAAAAGTAGGAAGATAAAACTAGAATAACAGAAATAAGTTCCATGAGTGAAATTTTACACCTTTTTTTCCTATTACTATAATTTTCAATTCCTTTTTGGTCTAGTATTTTAGGGTCAAAAATGAGTTGCCAGGTTGTTTTCAAATTTGCTTGCAGCTATTCTGTATGTGAAAATTGCTGTTTACAGAGAATAAACCCAGCAAATGTATAAGCTTTGTCTAGCTGAAAATCAGGTTTCTCTTCCTGTTGATGCTGATCCTGACGATATTATAGGATACCTTTCTGCTGGAAGGGAATTATTGTTCAGGAAAATTATATGCTGCTGTTACAATGTGTGCCCTAATCTTAAAGAAAATCCATGTAATTTGAGCAAGGAGTGTGCAGGAAGCTCTTCTTCTTAATGTGGAAAGGGTACAAAATGTGTCACTAAACGCTCATGTGGGCACTGAGATTCTCTTTGGATCATAAGTAGTTATATATAGATTAGTGTTAAGATAGTTATATAATACATTCAGAAAGTATAGAAGAAGGGACTACAGAGGGGCATCATACATGGGAATGAAGAAAATTACCATATTGGCAACAATGGAAGAGGGCAGTAGTAGATCTTGTACAATTCTTTAGTTAAATTATTAAGTACAATCATCTTCATTT